TGCTTGAGAAAAACTCTTTTCAGACCAAACTTTATAGTCAAAGTTCAAAAGGAACTGCGCACAAGCAGAGATTAAATACCACCGACAGGCCCCTGCTCCACCTCCCTCCCCATCTATGAAAAGGAGGCGGGAGCAGAGGCCACCACTGGTAAAAGGCCTCTGGGAAGGGCTGAGAATGGCAGATTTTTAAACGCCCCAGAAGCCCTGCTGAGAATTATAATGCCACCAGCAGGGCCCACCCCTGGGACCTGAGAGTCCCATATCCCACCTCCCCCTCCTTCCTTCACCTGAGAACAGAACACAGAACCACTGGTCTCTACCAGAACACGTAACTCGTGCCAGCAAGCTGCTCCTCTTTCATCACGGCAACGGGTACACGGCAGGGAGGAGTGAACACCCATCGCCAGGAAAGAACTCTGGACTGTGAGCCACCAATGAGCATTTGTGTGTACAGAATCTGCTGCGCCGCTTCTCTCTGGATGACAAACCTCGCCCCTTTCATACCCAGACACAGCAAGATGGAAACGTGAATTTCTCAAGTAAATTTACCTCTTTGAGTTTTTCTCTCCACACATGGCTGCGCTATGTTCATACGCATGTTAAAAAAAAAAGAAAAAAATTATCCTATATACAGATGTACCATCAGACACAGTGGCTTCTGCCTATTATTTCCATCAAGACTGACAACTGAAAATAATGTAAACCAAGTAGTCAAGCAAGAATCATATCCTAAAACTTGAGGATGGTGCTTCTCGTTGCTTCAGTGAGTGCAGGTCCCCCGGCATGATTCTCTGCAGTTCTACCCAGCAGGGAGACAGACTAAACTAACCCACAACGCAGGAAGTCTGGCTTAGCCGTGTGAAGCCACCACTGCTCTGTGTACATCAAAGCCGGGATGGAGATGTGGGCAAAAGCAGCCAGCAAGCACACATCCGCGTACAGAAGGCTCTGATTTACAGACAGGGCACCATCTGCAAAGCCCATCCCTGTTCCTGGCTGTGCCTCTGCAGACTCTCGTCTCGTCTTTGTTCCAAAGGACAAGCTTTGCCTTGGAGTGCCACTGTATTCTTTCTAGGCACACCAGCTGTTCTGCAGCATCTGAAAGTGTGCATTCAGTCCTTCTTCTGTGCACTGTGCTTAAGGCGGGTGCACCCAGCCTGCTGTTATCTGGGCTCCACACACATTCTGTGTAGCAGAGCTGATTCTGAACAGGCATCAGCTGGAGGCCGAGGGGCTGGCTACAATCAAGGGACCTTCAATTTCCTGATCCCATCTTATAAAAAAAAAACAACCATACCCATCTTATCAAAAAAAAAAAAAACAACCAAACCAGTTTCCGACGATCGACTCTGACTCATGGCGACCCACATGTGCCAGAGTAGAACTGTGCTCCACAGGGTTTCAACGGCTGATATTATTGGAAGCAGAGAGGACTTTCTTCCGAGGTGCCCTGGGTGTACTCACACTTCCAACACCTTTCAGTTAGTAGCTGAGTACTTACCCGTTTGCCCTACTCGGGGGCTCCTTCTATACCGAATAGGATAATAAACTTCTCAAGTCAGGGACATGTGCATCTCCTCACAGAATCGAGTCATAAGACACTGTACTTTGAACGTACTTAATAAGTACCTGATTGATAACTAAATGTTAATTAACGAGTAAATATTTAAACAGAGCTACAATGTGCACGGTACTATGCTCAGTGCGAATGAGACTATAAGAGATGTAGAGGCTGATCCCTCCCTTCAGAAAGTCGGCCACACAGCTGGAAAGACAATCACCTACTTATCCTAAAATCATCCTAACCAAACAAGGCAGAAAATGCCAGGTGACCAAGTGCTAATGAAATGCAGAGAGCAGAGGTCGTACACACGTCTGTTTCTGTTGTGTTGTGAGTGCGTGTGTGTATGCATGCGTCCAGGCGTGTGAGCTTGTGTGTGATCCAAGTGTGCCAGTGTCTGAGTGCTAGATCACCAAAGCAAGTGTCTGTGTGTCCATGTAGCTGGAAACGGGCAAATGAGACTCTAATGGGTACAGAAAAGGGGAGGGGCAGCGTAGGCAAGGGGAACCGCAGGGGAAGACAGCCTGACGGGCGTGGACAAAGGGGTTCAGCCAACTGTCCACACAAACGTTTTGTACACTGTGGGGCCAAATTCACTCCACCGACGAACTGAGAAATCGAGCATGCTTCGCCTGCACTCCCCCGTTGTCTTCATAAAAAATGAGAAATAATCAAATGAAAGCAAGCAAGAAAGAAGGACAAACAGAGAGACAAGGAGAGAGACGAAGGGAGAGGATCTGAAGAGGCAGCTGAGAACACCGTACAGAACAGAAGCCGAGCGGCTAGAGGTACGGAAGGCGGTACCCATGTTCACGTGCCGGTGGCCTAGAGGGGCAAGGCGTTAGACAAGACTAGGGAAGACTCCACCGACGTCGTTCTGCAAACTGAGATGGGGGAAACTGCGGAGGTAAAAGGTCAGATGTAGAATGGAGTCGGAAGGAATGCAGACACACCAGAAGAAGGGCTGGGGGCACACGTGGAAGTCAGGAACGCAAGGTCAGGCGGGGTCAGGGACGTGGCAGCACTTGATGAAGCCACCTAAGCAGCTGAGTGGAGCAGAGAGCCACGATGATCAGCGTCCAGCGCCTCCTGACTCAGCCGTCGGCACGCCACCACCGAGGAGTTGCCAAACTCAAGTACTAACTGCTGAATGTTTTTAACTGTTTTCTTTTTACATCTCGTCCCAATTTTTACACTTACACAGAAGTGATTTTCAAAGGAAATTCCATATCACTAGTATAACGGAAAGCCAGTGTAATTTCTGATAATATAACTGTTTAAATAAAAACAGAGCATTAAAGTGGAAACTGTCCCTCTCTGCACTGCACGATGATCTTGCACACACGACGCTGCAGGCCTACTTCACCCTGGAAAGCCCTGCCTGCTCCCGCCCTCACCTGACGGCCTTCACAGAGCAGGTACGGGCCACAGGCTGGACACACCCCCCCAACCCTCCCCACGGCACCCGAGGGCACTGCTCTTCCTACAGCTCTAGTCATCGAGTCTGGGGGCTTCTGGGAGCCCATTTTTGCCCGTTAGATTGGTCAAACCCAACAGGGCAGTGCCTGAGGTCCCCAAACCTGAACGTCGCCTTCCTGGGGGTGTGGACGGAGAAGCAGCCTCCAGCCTGGGTACACAGCATCAGCCCATTCCCCTGCCCAAGGGCCTCCTCCTAGAGGAACACGTGACAGCGCAGCACAGCAGCAATCAGTTATTCTGAAAAGACATCCCATCCTCCTGCAAACTGGGGGGGTGTGACACGTTTACCCCTGGAGGGACAGTAGTGATGGCGGCGGTACCATCTTTCCAGTGTGCCTATGTTTCAGGAATCCCGGAACACTTAACTGTGCTTATGAGGAACCTGTACATAGACCAAAAGGCTGTCACTTGAATAGAGTCAGGGATACTGCGTGGTTTAAAATCAGGGAAGGCGTGCATTAGGGTTGTGTTCTTTCACCACACTTATTCAATCTGTATGCTGAGCAAATAATCCGAGAAGCTGGACTATATGAAGAAGAACGTGGCATCAGGATTGGAGGAAGACTCATTAACAACCTGTGTTATGCAGATGACACAACCTTGCTTGCTGAAAGTGAAGAGGATATGAAGCACTTACTGACGAAGATCAAAGACTACAGCCTTCAGTATGGACTACACCTCAGCATAAAGAAAACAAAAATCCTCACAACTGGACCCATAAGCAACATCATGATAAATGGAGAAAAGGTTCAAGTTGTCAAGCATTTCATTTTACTTGGATCCACGATCAACGCCCAAGGAAGCAGCAATCAAGAAATCAAGCAACATACTGCACTGGGCAAATCTGCTGCAAAAGGCCTCTTTCAAGTAAGTGTTTAAAAAGCAAAGACGTCAGGCTGAGGACTAAGGTGCACCTGACCCAAGCCGTGGTATTTTCAATTGCCTCATATGCATCTGAAAGCTAGATAATGAAAAAGGAAGACAGGAGAAGAATTGATGCATTTGAATTCTGGTGTTGGCAAAGAACACTGAAGATACATGGACTGCCAGAAGAACTAACATGCCTGTCTTGGAAGAAGTACAGCCAGAATGCTCCTTAGAAACGAGGATGGCGAGACTTGGTCTCATGTACTTTAGACACGTTATCAGGAAGGACCAGTCCCTGGAGAAGGACATCGTGCTTGGTAAGGACTAGGGTCAGCAAAAAAGAGGAAGACCCTCAACGAGATGGACTGACACAGTGACTCCAATGACGCACTCAAGCATAGCAAGATTTGAGGGCAGTGCAGGACCAGGCGGTGTTCTGTTCTGTTGTCCATGGGGTCACCATAAGGGGGAACCGACCAGATGGCACTTAACAACAATAGGTTTCAAGTACTGAACCTGTTCCAGATACCACAAAGCGAGGAGCAGATGTGAACTTAGTCTGACTTAGAAACGCACGCTCCTCTACAGGACGACTCTCACTCAGGAATGTCACTTTAGGGATCTTCTGGCTGATTCCTGGTCCACAATGCTGGGGTAATGCTTCCCAAAAGTTCATCCTCTGGGTTCACTTACAGAATCCAAATGGTAAGGCATGAATACAATCATACTAACACTACTATGCTTATTTTAGCCCATATCTTGCTATACTCAAATACCATCAAAAAATTATTTTCTGAGCCATACATGAGTAAAGCAGCTCTGGTGGCACAGTGGTTAAAGCACTCGGCTGCTAAACAAAGGTCAGCAGTTTGAACCCACCAGCTGCTCCATGGGAGAAAGATGTGGCAGACCACTCCTGGAAAGGTTACAGCTTTGGAAACCCCATGGGGCAATTCTACTCTGTTCTACAGGGTTGCTATGAGTCGGGATCAACTCAACGACAACAGGTTTGGTTTCTTTTTCAGTTTTATACATGAGCAAATAACGCGGTAGTCAGATTCCAGAAGACCACAATTTTCAGCTGTTTCCTTACCTGACCTATAATTGCTCCGCATACAGAAAAGCCGGAAGACATCAGGTGAAAACTTCTTTAGAAAGTCCTAATAAAGCAAGAAATAAAGTACATTTTATTTATAATGTTTACCTTTTAAATTCTGCACTACTCAGACACTATGCTTATACAGTTTACTACAATTATGTGAGCTGATACATACATGCCAAGAAATCAGAAATTTTTAGAAAAACCTTTGTTTTGGTTCCGAACTCTCACTAATAACACTTTTTCTAGCCGTTTCCTCCATTCGATTTTATACGTGTGAAATTATATACAACAAAACATACACCATTTCAACAATCTCTACACATACAATTCAGAGACACTGGTTACATGATCTTCAAGTTGTGTTGCCTTTGTCAACCTTTTCCAAACTATTTCACCATCATTAACACACTCATTGCCCCCCAAACGTCTCATCTATCCTTTCGAGTTGCTGTTGTCAATTTGATCACCTACAGATAATTCTTATAAAGAGTATAATGCTTAATGCAGACATTCTTTTCTAATTAGGCTAAACAATTATTTGGTTCAAAGACGATGTCAGGGGATAGTTTCAGTTCGAGGTTTAAAGATTTCCTCAGGGTAATAGTTTTGGGTGGTGGGTCACCCAGCCTAAACGGCTCCAGAAAGTCTAGATTTCGTGAAAATTTGAAATTCTGTTCCTCGTTTTCCCCCTTTTGATCAGGATTCTGCTACAGAATCTACATATTCAGTAATGGCAGCCGGGCATCATCCCCCACTGAATTTTTAGCGTTCAATCTCAATACTGGCTGGGAAAGGCAGAGAAGAGAAAGCCCATTTGCCCTGAAAGACTTGCTCTCATCAGGCTCAAGGAGAGATCTGTTCTGTTGTGAACCTCAGGAGCTCTTTTATCTACAATGTGACTTTACAACTCTCATCCTAGAAGGCAGCCATGTTGTCGGAGGACCCACCGGAATGATGCGGAGTGCTGGGAGGGACAAAAGACCAGGTGGTGTGAGACTCAACACACTTCATCTCCTGACCGAGCGACAATGAAGGAGGGTCCCAGATCAGGGAAGAAAGCTTCCAGGAAACTCTCGGCAGTGGCTAATGGTCAGAGTAAGCCAACACCCAAGTTTATGGCCAGACTGAGGAAAAAAAGGCCGATCTCACTCTATCTGATGACACAGTTCTGTGACACACGGAGGTTACGGAATACACTAAATATATTTCTCAAAGAATAAATCATCCTGCCTCTGACACTTAGCGCTAATAGAAATAAGTAACAACCTTTTTTAAAGAACTCTTTCTCCCCTAACCCAACTGGCATCACTCCATAAATTACAAAATTTCCATATATAAAGAAGGAAAAATTCTGTATTAAATAAGGTAACATGGAAAAACTTAGCAGAAATAGCCAGAGGTGACTGTAAGAACAGCACAAACACTCAACAAAGCCTCTGTATGTGCCGGTCAGTGTTAAAAAAAAAACAAAAACCAAACCAAACCCATTGCCATCAAGTCAATTTTGACTCACAGCGACCCTACAGGACAGAGTAGAACTGCTCTACAGGGTTTCCAAGGAGTGTCTGGTGGATCTGAACTGCAGACGTTTTGGTTAGCAGCCATAGCTCCTAACCACTGCACCCCCAGGGTTTCCGCAGTGTTAAAAGTCCTGGCAGTTAGAGATCAGACGCAGGACGGAGGAGGGTGGGTAAAAGGGCTCAGCCTAACTAGAGGCTTTCAGTGTCGTCACAGGAGAAAGCCCACGCTCACGCTTCAGCTTGCTGCCAGGAATGCTCTCGGCCCACCGCTGGCCGGGGAGACAAAAGGGGACCCCGAGCAGCACGTCGTTCAGCCCGCAGGACACACACAGCACACGAGCCCGCACCACCACTAGAGGGTGACTTGCTGAGACACGGACGGACGGAAGCCTTCTGTCTCCGGCCCAACGCTCATCACAAAGGAAGCAAACTTGACTCAGATACCACCGCGTGATAACAATGCCTCTGCGTTAACAACAACATCCTGCAGCCTTCTTCCATGGATTCTAAGTTAATGAAGGGAAGAGTTTTTAACCCTTCTGCTTATTCTTCTATCCCTCTTGCTCTCTAGTAGTTATTTCTGTCCTCCAGACAGCAAAAACAATACAACGTACAACAGGCGGATCATAAACACCCATTAAATGATCCTAGGATAAGAGGAGTAGGCTTGGTTTGTCCCGATCTGGGAACTCAACAATTGCTGTCTGGAAACGAAGACCTTGATGCAGTTGCTCAGGGCTGTGGCTTACTGGCTTTGAGTGAAGGGGATTTGCAGTAAGCAAGGAGACCTGGTGGCACAACAATTAAGTGCTCCACTAACTGAAAAAGTCAGTGGTTTGAACCCACCCAGCCGCCCCATAGAAGAGGGCCTGGTGATTTGTTTCCGTAACGATTACAGCCTAGAAAACTATGGGGCAGCTCTACTCTGTCACATGGGGTCACCATGAGTCAAAATCAACTTGATGGCACCCACAACAAACAACAGGGGCAGGTGGACTTACCAAGTCGTCATCAAGAGGCAGCCTACCTGACAGGTAACGAGCGCCTCAACAGGGAGCACCTCCCCTCCCCCACTCCCACCCGGCAGCTGCCCTTGCTGGCCGGGATACCTAATAGGAGAAGAACCATTTCAAAAGCAAACACTTGGACTTGGAGGTAGACAACACAGACTGACTCCAACCCCTGGTTCTCAAGCAATCCAGTTTTCTCCTCAGTGTAAACTTATTATTACAGAAAACGTGTCTCCCCCTCCACCGTGCCAGTTCACAGTACAGTACCAAAGTATCACGAGGCCAAATTAAACTGCAGGCTTGGATTCTAGTTTGGCATATGTAAGATAAAATATCATGGCTAGAACAGAGGGGACTCCTGGCCTAACACAAAATCGGCCCATTAACCACAGCAGATTTTAATAAATTTCAGGCTTACAACAACCACAATAAGCAATTTGTTTTTCTAACTTCTGTATGGAGCCCTGGGGGCACAGTGGTTAAGAGCCTGGCTGCTAACCAAAAGGTGAGCAGTTTGAATCTACCAGCCACTCCTTGGAAACCCTATGGGGCAGTCCTACCCTGTCCTATAGGGTCGCTATGGGTCAGAATCGACTCAACGGCAACAAATTTGAGGGTTTTTTTGTTATCTACGCACATGGGAGTCACTGGGTAGTACAAACGGTTAACGTGCTCAGCTGCTAACTGAAACGTTGAAGGTTCAAGTCCAACCAGAGGCGCCTCAGAAAAAAACCTGGACATCTACTTCCGAAAAATCTGCCACTGAAAACCCTGTGGAGCATAGTTCTACTCTGACACACACGGGGTCATCATGAGTCAAAATCGACTCAATGGCAACTGGTTACTGGCTACACACACGCAGCTGACGGGGGCCTACCAGCACGGGTCACCCCCTGACAGCGGCCAGTCCTCTCTGTCTACAAGACGGCTCACTCCAGTCAGAGGGGGCAACCGCTCCTTAGCCATGACTCTCTCGCCCCAACGGCACTTCAGGCTCCAGGGATTAGGGAAGATACTGCAGGATGGTCAGAATGAGGGAGAGAGAAAGCCAAAACAATCATCTGAACGGCAGGAAGAGTAAAAAGTTGACTCAGAAAAACACCCAGGCCTCTGCAACTGTGTGAGGTCCAGGCTGGCTGCCTGGGCTATGGGGAAGTGTCAGGCTGGAGCTGGAAGCTTACTTAATTCCCTCTGGGTCTCAGATCATCTGTGAAGTGCACGCGGGGAGGGGAGGGGAGGGTGGTCAGACATGAAATGCTCACACCGTCACCTTCTGTGCGCACAGGGCCCTCTCTCCACAGACAGAACCACATTCTCTTTGACGTTTGTGTCTTGCCAACATCTCAGAAGATATTTATTTAGCTGGTTATTTATCCTAAATGCTTCTCCCACTGACCCCTCAGGCCTCTCTTCTTTCAGAAGCTAGTGAGGCCCCTGCAGGAGTGGGAGCTGAGAGCAATGCAAGAGACTCAGTTACAGTCCCATCCCTTACCTGACTCACAGGGAGTAAACAGAACTCCTCTTACTGATGGGCTGAAATGACAATAATATACCAGACGGACTGATGCTAACCCAAAGTCCAGAGAGACACACAGTTCTGCACTTCCTCACTGGGACACAGGAAACACCCCTTCCTGGGTATGATGCCACCTACTATAACCAGGCTGCTTGTAACCCATCACCTGCTGTCAGCTTGTCGTACTGCAGTGGCCTGCATGCTGCTGTGAGGCTGGAAGCTAAGTCACCGGTATTTCAAACACCAGCAGGGCCACCCGTGGTGGACAGGTTTCAGTGGAGCTTCCAGATTCAGACAGACTAGGAAGAAAGGCCTGGTGATCTACTTCCAAAAAGAAGCTAATGAACACCCTACGGATCAGAACACTGTCCAGCTGGACTCAAACATGTCAAGGATTGTGACTACGATGCAGGACCAGGCATCCTTTCATTCTGTCGCACACGGGGTCATCGTGAGTTGGAGCCGGCAGCCGACAACCACAACTTGTGACTGAAATGAACAACGTGATGGCCTGAAAGAACATGGCCGCCAAAAGGTACAAGCGGAAAAATAATCCAGGTGGCTGAACAATGCAGTCCTGATCAAAGGATTTCATCAGGATATAGAATATTTTATGAGGCATAAAATACTGTTTCAATAGCGTATTTATAAACAATCTTACTGAAAATAACAACCAACAAAACAGAAGACCATCACCAGGGTTTGGGGGGATTCTCTGTTCCCCTGAAGTGAACCCGGGCTGGCCGCCTCATTCCTGCCTTCCTACTTGAGTTGGGAAGAAGGAAGGGAACGTGCTTGGTTCAAACTCTTCTGGACTCTATCTTCTCAGAGGGATGGAGGGCATGCTCTGGTCTGCCCTCCACCAGGCGGGAAGCTTATAGAACAGGTTCCGCATCCTCCCTCCTGGAAGCCTGGCAGGGCCTGAGGCAACGGCAGGGGGCTCATCTCCTTCGGGGGAGCTGCAGAGCCAATGTTCCAATCCACAGCTTCTCAACCTGGGGTCCACGGACCG